TTTTTGGTATTTCTACTATTTCTTTTGGAAAATTTTTGGATCTTATTGGTAACTTAAATAATTTTGATTTAATTTTCTTTATCCAGAAGGTTAAACTATTTTTTAGGTAATTTTATGTTGATTTATTCAGTTTCAGTTGTCATTCAAGTAGATTGGTGCATATTTTGATTTGTTTTGCATTTCGGATCATTTGATTTTGCACAGAGGTGGTGTTATTTTTTCCTTTAAAGGTGTGTTTGAGCCTAACAAATATTGGGAGACTATTCACTGTTTTGATGTGATGATTAATTTTTCTTTTGTTTTTAGATGGGTGTAGTTATTTTTTATATATAATTTGTTATTCAATTTTTGTGGATAGTTCTGCCTCTAATTTTTATTAATTTTGATTATGTTGATATTTTGTTTAAAATATTACTTATTGTCGGTTTTGTAAAATTTGTGTTATATGCATGTGTATATTCTGTTTTTAATGTAATAATTCATTAATTACAGTATTATAGTGGTTTTACTGTTTTTGTAATGATTATTTGTATTCCCTGTGTCATGGGTGAAACAAGTATGCTTAAATAAATAAAAAATAAATAAATAATTTATTTTCTGTGTTTTGTTTTGTTTTATTTTTGTTTTGTAGTCAATTTATGCAGCAAATATTATATTTAGATTGAAAATTGATTAAAAAAAAAGTATATTCATATTTTGAAACAACAACTACTTTATTATTTCAACCTGCCTAAGTTGGAAGGTTTAGAGTCCTATGTAATTCTGGCTTTCACATTTTTTATTGCATGAGATAATTCATTTAAGCTTTGATCTACTCTGGTCAAGTTGTGTGATGATTCTCTTGTAATCTTGCAAACATTTAGTTATGAATTTAAGTTCTCTAATATAAAAGATGACAATCTACATCTTTCTATCATAGATTTGATCTGTTTGAAAGTTTTGTATGTTTAAGGCAAATAGTTTAAATATTGATGGTGGTTAAATTGCATTACTATTTAAGAATGGATATTAACCAGATCTAAATATAGTTGCTGTTACTTGTGATCTGCTCTGATAAAATGTATATATATTTAAAGTAGTAGAATATAAGTTATAGATTCCAAGTACTCTATAAATACCAAATTTTTTGGATTTTTTGACAATAAAAATAACTGATTTGATTGGGATTAATGATTGTTTTCTTCTATAATGTGATGGCAATAAATATTTACTTGTTTAATGCAACACAACTTAAGTTGCATTAAACAAGTATAGATATTTATATTAATGATTATTTCAATGTTTAGTTTTATCAATTTTTTACTATTTTGTATATATATTACTTTTATTTGTGTTGTTTTTGTATTTTTGTTATGTATGCATTTTGTTATTTAAATGAATGTAAACATACGAAATTCCAATTATGCCGCACTTCATATGAGTTCCTGAAACAATTTTTGCTAAATTATGAATAATGTTTTATATCATGTGCATTATTTGGTAAGAAATATATTGTTTAATATTTTAGTCTGTTTAAGTAACATATATATACTGTAATTATTTCAACAAAATAATTTGTTTTCTTGTATTCTATATCTGATTCAACAATGATTTTATTTCCAGACTTATTACACCAGGGACAGAGTTCTTTTTTAATATTCTTTTACATTATTAGCTTTTATTTTACCTACATGCATTTCAGGCATATGCCTGTCTTCAGTTGGAGTTACAAGTATAAAATTTCAATTGTTGAAAAGTAAACCTTAATTCTAAGCTCCTTATTTTTTAATAATCTTAACCATTACTGAACATCAATATAGCATTACAACTCATAATTGCAAATAATGGAAAACTGATAATGTAAAAGAATATTCAAAAGAATCCTGTTCCTGGTGTAAAAAGTCTGGAAATAAAAATCACTATTGAATCAAGTATAGTGAATTAATACATGAAAAACTTAACCAGATAAGGAGCAATACAAGGAATAGGAAAAATAATTTGTTTTCATTTCTTTTAAATTCTGTCTATTAAACACAACTTTTTTACATTTATTGTGCATTTTGAGTAGGCTCATATAGGGATAACTGTATAATGAGAGATGGACTTAATGAGATCAATAAGAGATGAACATATCCAGTTCAAACCATTCATGAAAATTTCTGAAAATACAACCTGTACTTCAATCTGACTTCTTTAGAATAATAGTCTGACATCTCTAATTCTGACAATTATGATGACCAGATGGACAGTAGTTCAAATGATTTTGTTATATTGGAAAATATCTTTATCTAATTCTGTTTTATATATAAAGAAGAAAGTTGTGTCTATCTGTTTTTTATGTATTTGAAGACATTATAAGCAAATACACTTACACAAATACCAAACTTTCTAAAAATTATCTTCTCAGTCAGAAAAAGTCAATGACTACTTTTTATTTGAAAAAATAGGGTAACCTATGTATCTAACTACAGTAGACCCCCCTATAACGCTTAGATACGTTCCACGCTAACCGAAAATTACGTTGTAGGAATGATTAAATACATGAGCCAATCGCAGCCTGATAGGTGGGAACTTTACGGACTAAGGCTGTTCGAAAGGTTTTCTTCTATAAAATTAACCGATTCTAGACTAATTTGACTCAACATTTCCAAAATACGTATAATTTTTTGGGAATAATCTGTATAAACTATGCTATAAACAAAAAATTATAGGATTACTTACCGAGTGTGTACCGTTCGACTACGCC